GGAGGGAGGGAGGGAGGGAGGGAGGGAGGTTTGAACAATGTAATATGAGACATACTGACAAATTGAGTTACTTCTCGGATTTTAACCGAATGAAACCAGGTATTTCAAAACTAAAGGTGGATTTTGTGCAATTTATAAGTATGAAATGATAAAAGGCATTGCTATATTTGAAAAAAAATGGCGGTTAGGTAAAATAATAATAGTAGCAATAAAAATAATAATAGTAATTGCATGGACATTGCGCATATTCACGCTTGACAGCATGCTTTATACGTTTCACAAATATTTTTGAGATATAAAAATTTGATTCCCACATTGATTCAATTCATGGATTGCGAGAACAAGTAACTCATTTTGTCAGAATAGCTCACATATTTTCTTCCTCTTTTACAGATTGAAGGTCTCGTCTCCACCTACATGGAGCGCCGGAAGGCCGGTGGGGAGTACAGCCACCGATCGGCGACTCGCAACAAGCACGTCATCGTGTGTAGCAGCTCCCTCACACAGGACACGCTCATGGACTTCCTAAACGAATTTTACGCACACCCAAAGCTTGAGGTGAGTGGGAATGCGTCACAACATGGTGTCCAAAGAAAATGTAACACATATCTGTCTTGATACTGTGGAATCAAGCGCTCGTCAGTTTTGAGGCGCACAGAGGTATTGGTGTAATCTTAAAGCCTTGTTTTTGGTAAAAATAAAATATCCGTCTATCTTGAATAGAAGTCAAGATATTTGTGAAGTGTAGCGACTTCCAAAGCTGAAGTGTATTTTGAATTGTCATTGTGGTCAACGATTTTTAAGTCAAATTCACACAGAAGTGTGTTTTAAAATGAAGACAAAAGGTGTTGAGCTAAAAAAATGGATACAAATTTTGAATTCAAGATTTTGATGAGTGACAGATTTCCCCAGGATGCCACACATTTTGTTATTCTTATGTACTTGCTGTTTACGTTATCATTTTTATGATTGTTTTACTTGATGTTGCTTTTCTGATACACCCACTGCTTTCACTTTTATTACGATTGTCATACTTTGGTGTTATTTTTATTATTTGTCTTACTCTTTTTAAATTATGCCTAGGCTACATGTATTATTAAGATGATCAAACTGGTTGTGTGTTGACATCCCCAGGAACACACGGTCATCTTACTGTGTTCGCAAGAGCTGGACAGTAGCAAACAGGTCATTCTGAAGGATCCTAAGTGGAGTCACAGGTAAGGACGATACAGGATATTGATATGGCATAGCATGACCAGCCCTTGTACCATGGACAAACTCACTACCCACAGGAGGCCTCATGGGTGGTTGGCGGGTGCTCTGTTATGGTTTACTCCATCTTTTTTACTAAGCATCTGTTATCTTTATCTCTCCTTTTTAAAATATTTGTTACTCTATTGTGACACCTATAATCTTTGGCACTTATATGACCTTATTGTGGTGCACGTGCCGTAAAACTCTTACTAAAACTAAAACAGAATGTCTTAGTGGTGGAGGGACTAGTGAAAGTAGGGTCACACAGAATGTCAAGCGATATTTCTCCTGTATGTTTTGCATTAGCGTTCACTGGATGGGGAGTGTCCTTGACCGATATATGGGTCACAATGCAGTGGAATCAGGCGCTCATCAATTGTGGGTCAGTTTTTGGGCATATGAAGTTATTTGTATTACTGTGAAGCTTGTTCTTATGCCTTGTTTTCTATCTTGAATAGAAGTTGAGATAATTGAGATTGAAGGAGGTTGGGGTCGCCTGGTGTCAGAAGTTATATCAAATTAGTGAGAAAATGACCGTTACAATTTGGTGATTTCCAAAGTTTCCTTGGAAACAGCAAATTTACATTTTTGTGTGCATGTGATCTCTGTTTTCCTATAAAATTCATTATACAGAAATGTAATGTACTTTTAAATGGACATGAAAGGTGTTAAGCCCCC